GTCTCTTGAGACCAGAGTATGGATTCCCAGAAGTCTCTATTTTGTAAAGATGGGCCCTGGAAGAGGTTAAATTAGTTAACTGTGCTTTGGCTACAGTAGCTAGGCTAATTCTAGTGGTGACAACAACCATGCATGTCCCTTTTGCATGCTGCGTCATACTCTGTGAGATAAAGTGTCACTCTTTTCACAGCTTTTGCCGGCTCTGAGACACTTGCGTGTTATTTCTCCGGCTCTTTTCTAGCAAAAATTCACTCATCACTAATGAAAACTTAAAGTGAAGACCTGATTATTTCAGGATCCTTATCACAAGTCAACAATAATTTGGAATTCCTCTTGTACCATTGTCCTCTTTTATGCTAAGAAATAAGTCACCTGGCAGTTCGCTCCCAAGTGGTTCCACTGCTGCCAGCGTTAAGTCTGAGTATGATTAAGTGGGCTATTTAACACTTTTAATTGTCAGGAAATTACTTGTCTTTAAAAGTTTTGGTTCAATATACTTACCTGTTGATCAAAAATAGCCTTAAACCTATACACTTTTTTATTATTTTTTTTTATTTAGTACATTTCAAGAGGGTGTACTCATTTTTGCAACACAACATTTTATCACTTTGATAAGAAAATCTTATTTTGCTGAATAATTTTGGTATTCTTCTTTGGTAATTGATCAAGCAGGCTTGTTGGAACATTACATCTCCAAAGAACCCAAACTCGTCTTCTAAGTAAAGAGTAATTGCTGAATTTGTTAAGTTTTAGAGGGGGTGTACTCATTTATGCTGTGCACTGTATATTTCTACCATATTTTCATATGATGCTTATGTAACTCTGACATTTGAATATACAGTAGGGAATCATCCTTGACGATGTCAGCATACCTGCTATGTCATATTTCATCATCCCTCTTAAATGTACCTATTACACAGAATTATGGTTTATTTAGAGAGCTATTTTTTAACATAGAGCCTTGGGGAGTCACATCCCCAAACATACACACTTCTGTAACGCAGCAGCCTGGACTGCCTCCAAGACTGCAAACCAAGCCTTGCAAACTAAGCCTCTCACACAAGCACCAAGCCACCTCCTGCAGGGCAAAGCAGGGACATAAACCTGGGACACAAACAAACCTGGAACTAGCATGCAAAATTAAACACTGTACTCAGGGCCAGATCAAAGATGCAGAGACTTCAAGAGCCAGAGAGAGAAATAGAGTTTTCTGTGTTGAGATTACTGCCCAGCTGCAGGGAAAGGCTCCATAGGGGGACCGGGCCAAAAACATTTTAGGGACAGGGAAGGCTTCCCTGTCTGGCTGGAGGCCCATGGATATATTGCAATATTGAGGTTCTATTTTTAATGTGTTTAATGAGAGACCAGAGCACAAGAAATTAAATCTGGACTCTGAGTTGGCTTGTTCAGCAGACATAGATACAGTATATCTAGGGATAGGGTGAAGCCCAGTTGTAAAAATCTGTGTACTAACAGATCTTTCATCATAATCAGTTCTTAACATGCTACTAAGAACAGACCAAACAGACATTCTGGAGGGGAAAGGGACATATATAAAAAGATCTGGGTAGTAACTGATTATACTCTATGTTACCCCTCAGAGGACCTCAGATGATGCCAACCCTGAAACAAATATATTTGAATAAATATATATTGTAGAAATATATATTGTACAGCTGCTTTGCAGCGATTTGTATCGTAAAAGGCGCTATACAAATAAACATGAATTGAATTGAATGTAATCTGGATTACGTAATCATATTCCAAAAATTAAGTACTTGTAATTAGATTAAATTACATTTCAAAATACTCGTAATCAGACTACAGTTTCATAATTTTTATTGATTACATATTATTCATGTAATAGCAATAAATTCCTATTTTTCATCTTTTAAATGTTCCTTTTTAAAATAGCCTACCGCTTATATACAGTGGGTACGGAAAGTATTCAGACCCCCTTACATTTCACATAGTTTTAAAATGCATAAATGCACGTTATTTCTTATTCCCAAATTTTGTCATCTGAACATCTTTCGCCTAATATAATTACTTCAAGTAGCCTGCGATTTTAAAATAAATATTTTAATAATTAAGTATCACATGTGCATGTTCACGGTTCTCTGTTTCATTTTGATTGATGTTATTCTAAAATTACTTATTTAAAATTTTCCATTTTTATGACTTTGTTAATTATTAGCTTTTGATTAAACTCATGAAGCCCGTGCAGTTAAATGACAAACTCCAGTTAGGGAAACCTTGAAGTAACATAATGTTTAATGCACTTCTTGTTATTAATTACAACAAATTAAATGTAGTTTCTTACTCTTTGTATTTTTATATCAATATGGTATGAGATTATTAAATCAATGTGATAAACGAAACGGCATATAGGTCAAAAGTAATCTAAAAGTAATTTAAAAGTAGTCTGATTATCTAAGAATGTGTAGTGTAATGGATTTCGTTACTACACTCTTAAAAGAGTTATAAAAAGGTAGGAAAGAGATGGGTTTTTTTAAGAACCTGTGACTGAATGGTTCTTTGAAACAAACTTATATGGCATTGCAGCGACCTTTATTTTTAAAAAATAATGTGTATAGCTACAATTTTTATCATGTAATTTGGAATCAGTAATGGACTACAATTTAAGTAATCTACCCAGTATACTTTGAAAGATCATTTTTAAAAAGTAGCTAGAAGTCATGGGAAGAGACAATGAAAAAATTGCTTTGATTTTTGACATTCAAATTCATGTCAAATTCTGTTCAACCATTCTCGCAACACCATTAAGTGCCAGTAGAAGCACCAATAGTACCTTTCAGTATCATAGCAAGCAGTAAAACAAGTTGTTTTTCTTGGCTGCAAAAACACAAAATAATTAGATACTGTTTCCTGATAGTATATTTTTTCTTATAAAGATACAGAGACAAATTTAGTATTTTTTAAATCACCTTTCTAAAGTATTAAATGACTCAAATCTGCACCAACCTGCACTATAGTCAACATTCTGTCTCACCATGTCGCTCATGCAGACTTCTGCAGCCCACTTCTGGGATGGCTGGATGGGGAATGTATTTCAGAGCCTATCTGTAAGATTTTCCTTCCTCTCTTTTCTTCCTGTTAAAATGATCATGACTTTTATATTGAGGGAACTGTATATATCAACAGCAGTGTGTGCTGGCAGACGGGTGGTGAATTTAGAGACTGCGCTGAAAGGTCAAAGGAACGTCCAGGGTCCAGCCCACCATATAAAAAATAACCTAGACTTAAAGTGCAAAAGGGAAAAACATCAGCTATATGAATAGGAAATAAGTATATTAATTAAAGTGCTGATCTGACATTTATTGTTTATCACATTGTGTCGATTCGTTCATGTAACCTTTTTTGATGTAGTCAGCATTGTCTCCTACATATATCAAATCTAACGTGGTTTGAAAAATGGAAAAAGAATGCATGCCTAGTTCAAGGTTAAAGGGTTTTATTTTGATATTCATTCAATATGCGTAAGACCTTCATGGTTTAGTGCCCTTGAAAAGCACAGAGCCAGCAGCCGGCATATGAGTATCCGTTTGCATGACAGTGGATGATCACACTAAAATTAGACTATATTGATCAAGAGTGGATCCATATCAGTTAGGTTCCTGTGCAACAAGAAGGAAAGATTTCTAGAAAGCTGTTGGAGCGATGAGACATTTCCAGCTGGATAGCCTGTGTGCTTTTCCAGCTCTGTGTATGAGGGGAATGTTGAAGTTGACTGTCACTCTCTCTCACACAGAGATGTTAATTTCACACCCTTGGCAGGAGACAGAGAGCCTGCTAATACCATGTCTACACCCGTCTATGTCAGCAAATATCCAGACTTGTACATATAGACACTTACACATATACACATTTATATGTGCACACATTCATCTCAAGAGATTCACAGTAATCTGATTCATGACAAAGCTGTGTCAAATACGTTGAGTAGAAGATTTTTCGATGGTCTAATGAAAGTGACTCATTTTTGTCAAGTCAGTCTAACAACTGGAAACATATGCTAAATAATAATAAATTACTTTAAAAATAAGCATTGTTACTAATATGTATGCATTGCAGGTTTTAAATTTTTTTTAAACCTTTCCTGTAAAGTTCAAATTCACAAAGAAAGGATATTGCCTCAGTACTGAAGAAATAGGCTGACCTTCAAAGCTCCAGTTTATTTTACATCCAAATACAGATATTAAATGAAAAAAATCAAAAGAGTTTGTTCCTTTCTATGTCCTTCACATTGGTAAAAAGTAAAATCAAATAGCAAAGGTATATTTCAAAGGTCATTCCAGGTGTATTTTTGATAGAATATAGTTCATTAATGGCTGTGGGTAATATTTCTTCTGAAATTGCTAGCACCCTCAATCAAACACACACATTAACACAAAGCCTACAGGTATGTGCACTCACTCACACACACACATGCACACGCACACACACAATACATCTATTGCTTGGCTTTTTAGTGGCTTGTACATCTTAGATCAAACTCCTTTTGATCAAATTCCTTTTAGCTTTATTGGTGAGAATAATAAACACTGTGACAAAACTGTTGAACGTTGGCTTTCTTATTGCCGATGAAGAGAAAAGAGGAAGCATATATCTACAGTGAATGCCAGTTCAAATGTCCAGGAGAAGTGTGCACTTCTTCATGAAATACAATCTTTTTAATGACAACACTGACACGACTAAATTAGGAAGACTAGATGCTGGTCACTCCATGAGATGTATCACATCTCCTAAACTATTAATCTATGTCTTGCATGCTATGTATATCGTAAATGCCATAGTACATGAATAATTTTAACCCTGAAAATATAAATAAACTTCAGTGTTCTTAGTGTGTTATAAACATATGAGTACACACGATAGCTGTACCATGCAGCAAAAAGGATCTCCAGGGAAAAAGTTTGCGCTCGGATGTGCTCATTTGAGACTTGCAAACAGAAATAGATATTAGTGGATGTTCTTACCTGTACCCCACATTAAACACTCTTCCTCTGACTGTTTCCCTGCCTCCGAGGATCTTTCCACTGGCACCCAGTAGAAACCTTTTCTGGCATGAACAACGGAGCGTCCGGACCCAGTTTTTTGAGGCTCCGGGAATATTTGGAGCCAAAATAGTCCTGATGAACTTACGGGAGTGTCTCCTGCACAAAGTATCACACAGTCACACAGAGACACGCATTTCCCTCTTTTAGCCCATCCCACTCTCAATCTCACCACACTGAGAATACAGGACAAGTGCAAGAGATTCCAGCAGATAATCACACCAGGACCTTAATAAGTAAGAACAACCGTGTGAGGAAGGGGACAGGAGGAGAACGAAGAGGAGAAGGAGGGAGTGGGTGAGAGAGAGTGAGAGAGCGAAGAGTCAAGTGTCAATGAAGCATGGATTGGGATGAAGAGGGCAATGTGAGACACATACCTGATATCTGGGGAGATGTAACCGGCTTTAATCCTTCCCAGGAATGGTGTGACGAAATCCAACTGGAACATCCAGGTCTTATTTTATTATATAGATAACTTTGTTGTTGCATAACAAATGATTTTTACATTAGAGCTCCAACAGTGATAAATGGAGCCACTATGTTTTGCTTTCTATGCCAGTGGTGCCACTCAAGTTTGGGAATCTTGCAACTGGAGAAAATTCTGCAGTAAAAGAAAAAGCCAGTGAATAATACAAATATTCCAGCCATGCAAATTATTCCCAATCAATTCCTTACATTCGAGGTTGTAGTACATATGAACTTTTAAATATGCACACATGCATCTCAAGAGCTTCACAATAATTCAATTGTGACAAAATTTTGCCACATCTATCTCTTGAGAGAAGATTGTATAAAAGCATTTAGTTTTGTCATGCCAATAATTTAGTTAAAAAGTAAAAATAAAAATTAATAAATAATAATAATAATTATTATTATTATTGTAAATATTGCTTAATATTTATTTAACATTTGTTTATTTATCTTTCAATAAAAACAACAAAAAAACAACAGTTATTCTTTTTACTAATGATATGGCGAATAAGTGTTATTATAATTACTTTTAAATATGACTTATTTATGTATCTTTCAATAAAACAACAATAATAATTCTTATTACTATTTATACTGTGATAAATATAATAATTATTAAAATTCTCATTATCAAATATTGTTTAATTGATTTTTATTTATTTATCTTCCAATAAACAAACAAACAAACAACCACAATCTTGTCTTGCAATTGGAGAAGTATATCAGGAAAATTCCAGCCATGTCGAAGCTGTGGCACATGACATATAGGGAGCTGATATGGGTCATGTACCAATTCCTCTCCCTCCACTTTCCTTTCAGTTCTTCAGTGTCCTGTGAAGTAAAGGAAAAAGCCAATTAATAAAATAAACATTTCAGCCATGCAAAGTAATTCCAGTCAGTTCCACCTAGAGTGTGGCTTGGGTGAAATATTTACTTTGTGGCTTTGGCCGAACCACACAAAAGATGGAGGCCATACAACAGCTGATGGCGAGGTATTCCCACTTAACTTCTGCGATGAGTCCTGAGTGGCCGACTGCAAATGAGTGGCAGCTCCGGTGTGGGGTCTTGCCTGAAACGAATACGGCAAATGTCATGTCTGATGTGAAACTCTAGCCTGAATATTAGGTGACAAACTATCACCGCAAAAGAGAGAACAAGCAGCCACGAATCTTCTCAAAATCTCAGAATCTCACAAATCATTTAACAGAAAAACTCCTTTAGACGTAATGTGACCATCCCAGTTCAGTGATCTCACATTCGCTTTTCAAACAGATTAACGTATTAACAGCAGAATTTGTTTGTGAAGCACAAACCAACAGTCACAGGGAAGTTCCTATCAGATGAAGGGCAGAGAGGGGTGGAGGGGCCACTTTTTTGAAGCAGTAAGCACATTTTAGCAGCCAGGCGCAGTAAGATACAGTTACAGAACATGGTGACAGCAACAGGGCCTCTCCCTATGCCCACCAGTCATAAACAGCTTCCAAACACTCATACCGCAAACCAATAATGTTGTCTGCCACTCACTATGATCTCACTTTATGGTGTATGTATTGGCTTACAGTAATTGGTCGGGTCCAAGTAAGAAGGGACACAACTTGCTGAGACCTCTAGACTGAAGTTTGTGTCTAGAAAATGGCTGTGGGAATCTACTATTTGTACCGCAGAACTATGTGTGTGGCCTGTAGCGGTTAACTACATAACACAGGAATCTTTACAAGGCTTGTTAAGGATTATGCTTAATATGAGGTCTCCATTCCAATGCATTTACTGTGTGGTTTTATAGCATCTTATAAAATACAATTTTGTGATTGAGTTGGAGTCAATGGCATGGAACTCACAAAAGAATTTATCCAAAAAGACTATTTTTGTTCCTAAATAGCGTCATATGAGTAAAAAATATAAATTAAATATATAAATGAATAAACAAATATTTAAATAATGAATACACACTTTCATTTATTTATTATCATTGTATATGTGCAGTATGTGTATATTATATATGTATATAATATAATATAATATAATATATTATTTTATTTATTGTCATTGTATGTGTGTGTGTGTGTGCGTGGTCCTGGTATTCCCTATGTTTTGGGGACCAAATGTCCCCACAAGGATAATAAAGTAATACCAGTAAATTTTGACCTTGTGGGGACTTTTTAATTTTATTTGGTCTCCATGAGGAAACAAGCCTATAAATCATACAGAATTATATTTCTGAAAATGTAAAATAGCAGAAAGTTTTGTGTGAGGTGTAGGTTTGGGGTAGGATTAGAAAATCTAAGACAGTTTGTAGTATAAAAACTATTAAAAACCATCTTGTCCCCATAAAACATGGAAACCCAACATGCGTGTGTGTGTGTGTGTGTGTGTGCGTGTGTGCGTGCGTGTGTGTGTAGGACAAGCAAATATGATGTGAATAAACTTCCATGATGAACATGTTTTTAGTTTTTTGGTCCTGAAAAACGGCATGATATAATATTTCTATAGTCTATCATATGCATATTGTACACTTTTCAACACCCGCTCTCTTGATATTCACATTAATTGACATTTTTTAGTAAATTCATCAAAACTTTTATCAAATATTTTGTTAGTAGTTTTTCAAAAACGTCTAAAGATTATTTTCCATTACCTCATGTTAGACATTCCTAAGTGTCATGAAGGTTTTAAAACGAAACCTTCTCAGTCAGTGAATTTCAATTAGTGTGTTTACGTTCGTCCAGCAGAGGGAGACATCACACTATTTTTTCAAATGTGTAACGTAAACTTTACTAGTTTCAGTGAACATAATTTTTGTGCGAAATGTCTGTTTAAATAATACAATGCAATACACGTCGATACGTCTACACGCGCAACATCACAAATTTTAATATCTCGTTTTACAGCAATGTTTTTCTTTTTCGTTTATCCTCTGATCAGCTGTCAGCGATTCATCAATCAATAAGCACCCAACCAATTAAACATCCACTTTCAGCCAGGATTATTGTGTGGAGTTGAGTTGCAGTCTGGTGGTGCTTCAGAAATGTCTAACGCAGAAGTCATTGCTTCCCGACTTTTGACGTTTAATCAGATGTATAGTTATGAAAAGCGACTACAGACTTTTTCCGAGTGGCCTTTTCGAGAAGATTGCCAGTGCACACCAGAGTTGGTGAGTGTGTCGAAAAAAAGCTGAAGAGAGAGCGAGCGAAATTGACATAATAAATGGAAGTCAAATTGACCACTGTTTTGAGTATAGGCACTTTTACAATCCACTGCTGCTTTAATTAAAAGGAGTAACGAAGATCCTCTGAATCCTTTCTTCAGATGGCCAAGGCAGGTTTTGTGCACTGCCCTAGTGAGAATGAGCCAGACGTAGCCTGCTGTTTCTACTGTCTCCGAGAGCTGGAGGGCTGGGAGCCGGAAGATAACCCCTGGTGAGCAGCAGGCAGGACCGTTTCTAGGCATAGGCGAGCTAGGCGGTCGCCTAGGGCACCACCAGCTGAAGGGGCGCCAATGAGCGCACGTACTGGCACTTTTAGCAGGGTTGTGATAAAGAGTGGCACGGTCACCCTGAAATATGACTGACGCCCCCACTGGATCCCCCAACATTATTGGGCTAGAGTACAGTCAATCTGACGATGCCTGTATGCCACTAGATCAGAGTGCTGTCAATTGCTGCCTGATTGTTACATGCAAAGTTTGCATTCGGAGCGCTCAACAACGCCATTAGATCAGTGGGCTCTGTCAGTGCTTTGCAAGGTAACACTTTTTTTTTTTGCCATGCAATAAAGCTAAGTTCAAAGGCCAATTTAAAATATTGGTACAGTAAATAAAGTGCACTAAATCAGTATTTTGTTTAGGCAGTATTTGAGGCACATTTGTCCAAATATTTGTGGCAGATTTGTCCAAAAGGTGTGCATTTTTTGCGCCAATGCATTGTTAACAGATAAAGACGAAAAAAGTAGCATAATATTAGGGCTGCACGATTAATCGCATGCGATATTTAACGCGCATCTTGTCAGAAAGCCGGTTCTGTAATCAGCGGTAAATCTTAGTTAATGCTGCTCAATGTGAAAGCCCGCAGGTGATGGAGATTTACCGCTGATTACAGAACCGGCTTTACTGATAAGATGCGCGTTAAATATCGCTTGCGATTAATCGTGCAGCCCTACATAATATCTAAACAATATGTAATAAAAATAATTTGTGTGATTTTATGTGCAATTACTTAGCCACTAGGGATTGTTACATAGGGCTATACAGGCATCTAGTAACGGCCCTGGCTGCAGCAGCTCACCTTTATAATCTATGGCCATTGTTTTTCTGAGCACATTGTTTATTTCTTTATGCTGATGTAAACCTGAGATTGTAACAGCTGACTTTGGGTGGGAAAAGATTAAAAGTTTTTATTGACTGTCCTTACATTAAGGTCTGAACATGCCAAGCGCTCCCCCAACTGTGCCTTTCTTCATATGAAAAAGACATTTGACAAGCTCACAGCCATTGAATACTTTCAGCTGGAACAGGAGCGGCTTCGCATCTACATTGTAAGTGTGAATGCATTCGTGGTGTTTTTTTTTTGTTTGTTTGTTTTTTTTGCTATTAATAAAATGTATCAATTCGTTTAACTGATTTCCTCAGAGGAAGATGGGTCACCGGAAGATAGCCTTCTTTCGTGATGAGGTGGAGATCACTAGCAAAAATCTGAGAGCTCTTATTTGATATCTGGTGATGGTAAATTATTTTAATTGTACACTGTTTGTGAACTTGCACCAATAAATTAAATGTTTTTATGTACCATCAATTTAAATTTTTTTTCCTGATGCCTGCAGCTTTGGACTCTTGAAGCTGTTTGTTTGTTAAAGACCACGTGGTGGCAATGTGTGAATTGGGAAGCATGTACCTTCTTTCGCTCCACCTACAGTATCTGTTAATGATGACCAAGTTTTTAACAGAACATCCATAAGTATTCAACACTATTCTAGCTATGTAGCTCAACTTGCCACTTTTTCTCTTTTGTGAGACCTTCTTCCATCCAAACTTGACCCTGGGCAGATGGCCCTAAGCCCCTCCCTCTCAATACCAACTGTTGCCCCATGACATCTGTCACTGTGTAGATGGTAGTGGAGTTGGGGAGAACTGTGGGTAAAAACCAAGTCTACCACTGGAGGGCTCCCTGGGCTGTGGTACTGAGGATTGCCAGTGTTTTGAGGTGCAGAGAGGAAAGAAACAATGTCCGTTAGGAAAATTTGTCTTGGTCTTGTTGTTCTTAGATGAATGCTGTGCCATACTTTGAAATCAAATGTGAGGCATTCTTTAGTGATAACTGTATAAACGGCTTTAGTTTGTGTGTTTGTATGTTTGGGACGGGGTAGGCGAGGGATTAGAGATGCTATCTCATCTCCCCCTTCCTATGCCCTGGATTACTGTCTAATGCAACACTCTGGACACTGAGCCCCGATCAACTGCTTAATTCTCCTTTATCCGCTCGCAACAGAGCAAATAGAAAAATAAGACATTTTCAAAAACAAAAAAAAAGAGATGATGCAACACGCATCTAGAGGAGGAGCTCAGAGGAGACCCCTTAAATTCTCAAAATAACGATGGTCTGAAATCACGGTTTTGATTTTGCATAGTTGCATCATTATGTGGAAGTTCCTTTTTCACAACTTCACTAAATGATGCATTGTCCAGCAGCTCCCTGGTTCTGGCTATGCATGCAGTCGTGGTCGCTACAGGCATTTTGGATATGTAAAGTCTGTTAATAAGTCAGTTAGCATTAACAATTAGTTTTCTGCCTTTCAGCTGTAGTAGTTTTCATGCCTACATCACATGATGCAGCATACAAATATGAAAAACTGGTGCACAGTCCATCACTTCCTGTCTGATCACAGGGAATGACAGGTGTCCACACTCCACACTGACTGGGGCTTCTCCTCCCAAATGTGGCATATGGACAAACTGACAGATGTTCCCAACAGAAAGTTTACAACCTGAGAGCACCATTGGGGAGAGCCCATCTGTTGCTGTGTGTGGGTCCTCCCCCTAGGCTCGGCTCTCCTCATCTTACACCAGAAGAGGCTCTGCCACACACCCCTGCCTCACCTCCGCTCAGCATCCCCTCCTTTCACACATAATTCAACTCCCACCCCATTCAGCCTTCATGACACACTGAGCCAAATTAATGCTGAGGGACTCACCTGGAAGAGCGTAGATTAGCTCATGCAGGGGCCAAACAGACCAAACAAAGACCTATTCTACCAATGTTTGGAACAGACAGACTGTTTAACTTTTTTTATTTTTAAGAACCAATATGTAATGTGGCAGAATGGTTTATTAGTCTGTGTGGCCGTGGACAGCAGTGGAAAAACAACGGTAAATTCAAATACATAATTGTACCGAAAAAATATATATTTTAATGTTAGTATGATAATATAAGCAACATTGCTTGTTACTAACGTCATGTGCGTCCAAAGTCTGTTATCATAGTTAGAATAAATGTTCATGTGATGGTAATAATTCTGTTTTAGAATTTTTCATTAAAATTAATAAATTAATTATAAAATCTAGAAACTAATATTACATATATATAATATTAACTTATTAATCAATATAATTTTGTATTGAAGTGATAGTTCACCCAAAAATGAAACTTGTCATTAAAATGTACTCACCCTCAAGTTGTTCCAAACTTGTAGTATTTTCTTTCTTCTGTTGAACATAAAGGAAGATTTTCTGAGGAATATAGGTAACCAAAAAGTTATGGAGAAAATAGTTTAGTAAGTATAGGAAAAAGTATGGGAAAAAAACTGAAAGTCAATGGGGACCAGAAATTATTTAGTTACCCACATTCTTAGACACATTAATAATAACATATCACAAAAGCAATTAACACGCACACATAACAAAATAACACACACACACACACACACATACATATATATATACATGCATACACAAACATATACAGTATATACATACATAAATACACTTTTTCTACTTTCACACATATATTTATAACATTTTCTGTAATTTCTGTAATATTTTCTGTAATTTGGAAAATTCAACATTGTTCATCAGTAAACATTTCATTTATGCTGTTAAATTTTTGTTGAACAGTTTCTCAGCACAAATTAATATTATTTTTGATGTCCAGTACAATATTTGTTGACTTGTTACGTGTATTGTCAACTTAGTAAAGTTATAAAGTGAACATATAGCACTTTAAGACTTTTCCATAAATGATCCTGTCTGAAACATCCTCTGAGTTTTTCCCACTTTAGACTTATAAAGGGCACCAGTACATCAGGCCTATAGATTATATATGTATACAGTGGTGTGAAAAAGTGTTGGCCTCCTTCCTGATTTCTTCTTTTTTTGCATGTTTGTCACACTTCAATGATTCAGATCATCAAACAAATTTAAATATTAGTAAAAGATAACACAAGTGAACACAACATGCAGTTTTTAAATGAAGGTTTTTATTATTAAGGGAAAACAAAATCCAAAACTACATGGCCCTGTGTGAAAAAGTGTTTGCCCCCTAAACTTAATAACTGGTTGGGCCACCCTTAACAGCAACAACTGCAATCAAGCGTTTGCGATAACTTGCGTGGATCGTCTTTGAATTTGGCTCTCGCTGTCACTCTTTAGTCTGATCTGATCTCACAGGGCAGGTGCACCGCCGTCTGCTGTGCTGGAAACCTATCCGGAAGAGCACAATGTGGAGAAAGTGGAATTTATTTTATATTATCTTATATGATTCTGTCTGTCCGTCCGTCCGTCCGTCTGTCTATTTGTCTGCCTGTCCATCATCCATCCGTCTGTCCGTATAAAATCTGTCTGTCTGTCCGTATAAAATCTGTCTGTCTGTCCATATAAAATCTATCTGTCTGTCCGTATAAAATCTATCTGTCTGTCCGTATAAAATCTATCTGTCTGTCTGTCCGTATAAAATCTCTGTCTGTCTGTCTGTTTGTCCGTATAAAATCTCTGTCTGTCTGTCTGTCTGTCTGTCCGTATAAATTCTGTCTGTCTGTCTGTCCGTATAAATTCTGTCTGTCCGTCCGTCCGTCATCCATTCGTCTGTCCGTATAACCGTCTGTCCGTGTAATATCTATCTATCTATCTGTCTGTCTATCTATCTGTCTGTCTGTCTAAATTCTATCTGTCTGTCTGTCTGTCCATCATCCATCCGTCTGTCCGTATAATATCTGTTTATCTATCTGTCTGTCTGTCTGCTCGTCTGTCCATCATCCATCCGTCTGTCCGTATAAATCATACCTATCTGTCTGTCTGTCCATCATCCATCCGTCTGTCCGTATAAAATCTATCTGTCTATCTGTCTGTCTGTCTGTCTGTCCGTATAAAATCTGTCTGTCTGTCTGTCTGTCTGTCTGTCCATATAAAATCTGTCTGTCTGTCTGTCTTTCTGTCCGTATAAATTCTGTCTGTCCGTATAAATTCTGTCTGTCCGTCCGTCTGTCATCCATCCGTCTGTCCGTATAACCGTCTGTCCGTGTAATATCTATCTATCTGTCTGTCTATCTATCTGTCTGTCTGTCTAAATTCTATCTGTCTGTCTGTCTGTCCATCATCCATCCGTCTGTCCATATAATATCTGTTTATCTATCTGTCTGTCTGTCTGCTCGTCTGTCCATCATCCATCCGTCTGTCCGTATAAATCATACCTATCTGTAAATCTGTCTATCCATCTGTCTGTCTGTCTTTTCAGGCAGGTCCTATTTAAGAGATTTCTTGATTGCGAACAGTGTGATGAACCACAGTTTTAACAGGGGGGCAAACACTTCTTCACACAGGGCCATGTAGTTTTGGATTTTGTTTTCCCTTAATAATAAAAACCTTCATTTAAAAACTGCATGTTGTGTTCACTTGTGTTATCTTTTACTAATATTTAAATTAGTTTGATGATCTGAAACATTGAAGTGTGACAAACATGCAAAAAAAATAAGAAATCAGGAAGGGGGCCAACACTTTTTCACACCACTGTAGATGATTACACATCTCTCCAATCTCTTTGTGACCTTTCCCCTCCTCTTTTCCATCTCTTTCTTACTTTTCCAATCCGTTTCTCTTTTACTCTCCATTACTTTGCATGGCAATCAGTGTGAGCTAACTGCAGGCTCTCTCTCACACAGTCGGGCCCTCCTACCTTGCTTTCTTTTTGTGCCTTCTTCCATAGGGACCCCCATCTGTCCCTCCTCTTCAGCCATTGTGGGGGCTCAAAGCCGGGCCACCTCCACAATGCAGTGGGCGTGTAGAGGGGGGATGCAGGGTAAATATGACAGCATCCCCATCCTATTAGAAGCTCTTTAACTTTGACAACCCAGCACTCTCACAAAGCTGAGGAGACGAGTCTCGCCTCACAATGTCACTTTAATGGCTTGTTCCACCCTTCTGTGAACTCTAACCTCCCTTTACCTTTCCTCTGCTGTGGATCGTCTTTGAATTTGGCTCTCGCTGTCACTCTTTAGTCTGATCTGATCTCACAGGGCAGGTGCACCGCCGTCTGCTGTGCTGGAAACCTATCCGGAAAAGCACAATGTGGAGAAAGTGGAATTTATTTTATATTATCTTATATGATTCTGTCTGTCCGTCCGTCCGTCCGTCCGTCCGTCCGTCCGTCTGTCTATTTGTCTGCCTGTCCATCATCCATCCGTCTGTCCGTATAAAATCTGTCTGTCTGTCCATATAAAATCTATCTGTCTGTCCGTATAAAATCTATCTGTCTGTCCGTAAAAAATCTCTGTCTGTCTGTCTGTTTGTCCGTATAAAATCTCTGTCTGTCTGTCTAAATTCTA